ATGAATTCAAATTAAAGGGTATGAATAAATAACGCTATATTATAATTTGTATAAGGCTAGCAGTAGCAATTCTATAGTCACTCCAGAAATAAAATGAAACCAAATAATTATTACCATTGGCTGTACTTATAACTATGTACAGGCTCAATAATAAGACAGGATTTTTTTAAACTGTATTTTAGAAGACAGAAGTAATTGTTAGGTAGTGTACATTAAAGACACATTATGTGAAATTCTCATTCCATTAGACAATAATTCCAAGATGAGAAAAAACTGAACATAATAATTTTGACAAATTAACAAACACTTAATATTTATAAACATGTTAAATATCACAAAATATCATGTTGGTTATTTATATATTTAAAGAGAAAAAAATCAATACCCATCAAACAAGTTAAAACAACATGATGGGGCTGGGGATGTGGCTCAAGCGGTAGCACACTCGCCTGGCATGCGTGCGGCCCGGGGTTCGATCCTCAGCACCACATACATACAAACAAAGATGCTGTGTCCGCCAATAACTAAAAAATAAATATTAAAATTCTCTCTCTCTCTCTCTTTAAAAAAACAAACAAACAAACAAACAAAAAACATGACTTTGAAACACTTAATCTTATTAATTATTTGGTGGATTCAATAATATGAAGGAAAGAAAAATTATGGTTTTGGGTTTCAGAATGACTTTTAAGATTCAATACATTGGGCTGGGGATATAGCTCAGTTGGTTGAGTGCTTGCCTTGCATGCACAAGGCCCTGGGTTCAATCTCCAGCACCAAAAAAAAAAGAAAGATTCAATACATTATTACAAAAGAAAGACACTTAGAAACATTTATTTGGGATGGTAATGTCCTGGCTTCTTCATAACATGTTTTTTTTTTTTTTTTTTAAAGAGAGAGAGAGAGAGAGGAGAGAGAGAGAGAGAGAGAGAGAGAGAGAGAGAGAGAGAGAATTTTTTTTTTTAATATTTATTTTTTAGTTCTCGGCGGACACAACATCTTTGTTGGTATGTGGTGCTGAGGATCGAACCCGGGTCGCAGGCATGCCAGGCGAGCGCGTTACCGCTTGAGCCACATCCCCAGCCCTTCATAACATGTTTTAAGAAATATTTTTTGAAATATTGTTTCACTTCAAAAATGTTTGTATAGATTTCAAGACAAGCCCTTATTTTAGCAACTGTCAATTTTAGAATACTGAGTATCCATGTATTTGGAAACAGTACAAAACAGGGTTAAATTTTGGTATGGGTATTGAATTCAACCTGGGATAAATACCAGGTTGCTCTACCACTGAGCTACATCCCCAATTCTTTTCTATTTTGAGACTGCATCTTGCTAAGTTGCTGAGATTGGCTTTGAACTCCCAATCCTCATGTTTCAGCCTCCCAAATTGCTGGGATTAGAGGTGTGCTCTATTGTGTCTGGCATGTTAAAATTTTGATGAAAGAGTTTGGTTTGGAAAATAAAAGTTGAAACATTCCCATAGTACGAAGGCTATTTCAAATCTATTATATTACTGCCTTAAAATATTAAGTAATTTAAAAGCAAAATCTTCAAAAAAAAAAAAACCAAAGAAGTACATACATTCTTATTTCTCCTATATAAATTTCTTTTAATGAATTCAATGTGCTTTCTCTTATACCTAATTCCAGTATTTCAGAAAGATTTTATAGGAATTTCCTAAATATAAAGAATAAAAAGTTGAACAGTGTTTCTAGAAAATCTTTCATTTTTTTAAAAAAAATATTTTTATTTCAGAATAGGCACAACTGCTGGGCACTGTGGCACATGCCTACAGTAGTGCTATTCAAGAAATACAATGCAATCCACACATTGCATTGTATTTCTTCTTGGGAGGCTAAGTCAGGAGGACTACCAGTTCAAGGCCAGCTTCAGCAATTTACCAAAATTTTAAAAGGGCTAGGAATGTAGCTCAGTAACAGAATACCCCTGGGTTCAATCCCCATTACTACAACAAAGAAATAAACAAGGGCTGTGGCTGTGGCTCAGTGGTAGAGCACTTACCTAGCATGTATGAGGCACTGGATTCGATCCTCAGCACCATATAAAAATAAACAAATAAAATAAAGGCATTCTGTCCATCTACAACTACAAAAAAAATTTTAAAAAAGAAAGAAACACAACAAAAAGGCAGAAGAGTCATAACTCAAACAACAATATCCTGATCATTTGAAGGAAGAGTCTGGAATTCTCTTACTTTGCACCATTGATAGCTATAAAAGCACCAGGCAAATCACTTAATCTTTCAGAATTTCAGTTTCTACATTCAATGGACATAAAACCAACCTTGTAAGATTATGAGAATTGGGGAAAACAGACTGCAATGTGCCTTCTGGGTATGAATATGACCAAGAACAATCATTCTGAAACATTTGAATACCTTTAGAAAAGCTGAACATTTGAATACCTTTAGGCCAGCAATTCCACTCCTAGGTATATATACTCTAGATCTGCACTGTCCTATTTGGTAGCCACTAACATTTGAAATATGGCTAGTGCAACTGAGAAACTGAACAAGTGTTTAAATTTATGAAATTTGGCATATGAACTGAGATTTTTGTAAACATAAAAGTACACAAATTTAGAAAAGTGTGAAAATATAAAATATTTCAATAACTTAATATTGGTTACATTTGGAAATAATATTTCTAATAATTGAGTTAGATAAAATATACTATTAAAGTTAATTTTGTTTCTTTTTACTTTTAATAAGGTTTTAAAAATTACATGTGTGGATTGCATTGTATTTCTTCAAGCAATGTTTTATAAAAATTTGGGGACTTTTTTTTTGGTGCTGGGTATTGAACCTCATGCATGCTAAGAAGTTCTTCCACTGAGCCACACCCCAGTTCCTGTTAGATAAGAATCTTTACAGTCACATAACTGTTTTTTGCTAGCTCTAAACTATAAGTAATTCCAATCTAGTGACAATAGAAAGGATTATGGAATATTATACAACAAAGAGCTACATGCAAAAGTATGAGCAAACTTCACAAATATAATAATGAACAAGGGGATGAATCAGAAAAAGACACATACATATTGATCCCATTTGTATAAGTTGAAAAGCCTAATTCACTTTTTAGGAATGCATCTTAGACAGAATTAAAGTAAAACAAGTGATTTCTTGCCAAGAGTCAGGATAGTGCTCACCTCTTGGTGGAGGAGAGATAATCACAAAGGCTAATACAAAAAGTGTCTAAGGAAGTGTTTTAGTTTCTTTCTTTTCTTTTTTTCTTTGTTTTTTGGTGGTGGGCATTGAACCCAGGGACATTTAACCATTGAGCCACTGCCCTGGCACTTTTTATTTTTTATTTTGAGGCAGGATCTCACTTAGTTGCTTTGGGCCTTGATAAATTGTTGAGGCTCACTTTGAACTTGTGATTCTCCTGCCTCAGCCTTCTAAGCCACTGTGCCCTGCCAAGGCAGTGTTTTCAACCAATTTTTAATTATAGTACCTCTAAGGAGTTGAGATGTATTTTGTATCTGTTTATGAACTGTGGCCCTATTTAAGGGACATAAACCGTTGTGTTCTCCTCATTTCTCATTCCATTTTCACTTCAAGGACAGAACACCTCTGTTGAGAATGCATATTCTAAATTATTAGCAGTGCTAATCTGAGAGATGGTTATACAAGTATTTGCTTGATTACAACTCTTCAAAATTTACTTTTGTTTTATATAGTCCTATTATGTGAAAATAAAAAGCAAAATTTTCTCGAAAAGGTGAGTTATAAACTGTGCTGAGACTCAAAAAGGAATGATTATTACACTTTCAGAGCTGCTCAAATAAGAACAGCAAGGAAAGCAGCTCAAAAAAGAACATGTGATTATGAAAAATGTAAAAAGCTATTTATGTCTTAAGTGAACCTTAATTTTGGTGGAGATCAACCTATAATAAAAGGGTGGCTCCCGCACAGGGAAAACAAGGGCATATTTTCTTAAGAAGGAAGCAAGAGGGTAATGCTACTCCCTCTACATGCAATTTTATAGTTTACCAAAGACTTTCAAGTATATATTCCCAATTCTCCCCATTTAAAAAACCGCAATTATCATACTAATGAGAAAATAAAACCAAAAGGATTCTTATCACGTTATTGTCCAGTCCGTGTTCCTAAACACATGCAATGGCTGAGATTTTTTATATCCTGCTCCCCCCTCCACACTATAACACTGTACCATAAACTTTTGTACCAGAAAAAGCTTACTTAAAAATATACAAGCTGATGAGGCATACATTGCAATTATTTTACATATTTTCGATTTGGGGGCTGTCCTTTTGCCTTTATTCAATCCAAATGTAAACCAAATGTCCACGGGCCGAGAAGGGGGTTGCACCGGGCAAGGGCAGGACAAAGTACCTGGATTTAACAACCAATATAATTCTCACAGCATCCTTCTGCAACCACCTGTCCCTCCTTCAGTTCTAATTTTCGCTTATTCCTTGGCCTCCTTCCCCTTTGAACTGCCTCCTCTCGTCATCCTTCTCTACTTAGTTTCTCCCAGTCTGCATTTCCTCAGAATAGAGTCTAGCTCTCAATCCTAATATAGAGGTCTCCCACGAACTCCCTAATTTACCTTACAGCAATTTGACCTCTCAGGACACTCAATAGTCAACCGTCCAGCCGGAGCCAACCGGAAACGGAAGTTGTCAAGTACAGTTCCTTACAGTAGGAAAACGGAGGAGAAGTTTAACGTTCCGGTCCTGGTTCAATGATTTCTGGACCAAATAGGGATAATACGAGGGATATGGGAAGTCAATATTTTGTACACATACGTGCATTCTAAGTATAATTGAGCTAAGAGACATTTCAGAGGAAATAAGGGCGGAAAAGGGATATTTTCCTTGTTTGAAGAGGGACTCCTTAAGCACTGCACAGAGGGTAGGGCGGAAGATTGCCCCAGCCAATAAGTGAAGCTGTTGTTGGGAGCGTGGACTCACCCAATGAGAAGGCTGGTTGTTGTGCTGCAGTTGGCAGGCTGCTGCGGGAGGCGGTGGCGATAGGAAGCTGGAGGCAGACCGGTGACTGGTAGGCGGCGGTGCTGTCTTTGGGGGACGGAAAGTGCTAAATGAGGAGGGCTTTTCTTCTTCTCCGGCTGCGGACCCTATAGAGGGGAAGCTGACGAGGGTGGTCTGGGAAGGCGGTAGCCAGACTGTTGGTGGTTCCGGAACCTCGTAAACCAGGTAGCCGCTTAGGAGGGTCGTGAGGAGATGGCAGCTGAGGCGGGCGGGGGCTGCGTCCTGTGGGGCTGCATGGGGGCCTGCTTAGAGCATGGGGGTTGTGGTGGCGTGGTCTGAGAGAGAGAAGAGAGGCTGGAGTAAGACACTGGTAGTGAGAGCTGAAGGAATTCCTTGCACGAAGCCCCAGGCGAGAAAAGGACGCGACGTTGCAGACACCTGAGAGAAATCCTAGGGATTTCTTCTTATGGCCATTTGCTGAGGGTAGTGAAGGGGTGCGGAGAAGAAAGCTGTTTACTGGCGGTCAGATCCTGTAGATTCTATTGCTGTGCATTATGTAATCCTTGGCTTGTTATTTATTGTAACAACGAGGTTGACCCTCTTGGAAGAGGAGGTCTTGCAAACCTTTTGATAGTTAGAACACTTTTCATTGGCTTCAGTGCTTTTTTTAGCCAGGCAGGCTCTGTAGGCGAAGGGTGATAGCATGAAGGTTAGAGTAGTCACGAAGAGCTTATCCCAAATCTGGACTGGAGAGATATGGCGCAAGTTTGAGATGATTGTTCAGATTCATGTTTTATAGTTCATGAATTTGTTTTGAGGGTCAAGGATGGTAACAAGTACGTTTTTTAATCTTCAGGAAAGTGCAGAGCTTCAAAAAGTCTATAGTAGGAGGTAAGTACAAATTGGAAGATGACTAGAAAATTAATTGGTAGAACCGCCCCTCCCCACAGATATTGTGGATGTTAGAGATTGTGAAAATAGGGTGGAAGTCTGAATGGGGAGGAAGGGTGTCAATTTTTAAGTAGTTTGCTTTGTAAGTCTGAGACTAGTTATGAGTTATTTCTTAGGTTTAAAAAATATGCTCTTTGAATCTCTTGGAAGTATATAAAACGTACTTACAAATAAAATTAATCATAAATTATCCTGTTTTTCAAAAGTCTTGTGGTGAAACTCTTGGTTCAATTCTCAATACTGGAAAAATAAAGAATCTTTATAATTTTAGGTTTACACAATGAAATGTAGGATTAAAATAGAAATTCTAGGCAGTATGTATATAAAGACTTGATTTTGTAGCTCAGTGAAAAGTGATTTTAAAAGACGGGAAAACAATTTTTAATAAAGCTTTAAATATTGCTAAAATGTAAGCTGTTTGAAGTGTTGCCTTTAGAAGATAAGAACAAATTCAGTATTAGCAATTATATCATTTTACTGAACATGTTTTAGTACTGCATGTCAGGAAAACTTTCTAAGATGTGGGTTTTTTTTTTCTGTTAATGTTAATTTATGTTAGTGTATACAGACCTAAATCAAAATTTCACTTGTTTTGCTCAAAATAATATTTGTGAAAGAGAAGTGGAGTGGATCCTTAGAGTTTGTTTTGAAGTGTTGAGAGTACTGAGATTATTTGTCAATGGTTTAATTAAGTTTTAAAAACGATTCTTGATGTTTCAGTCTTTTTTGTTTTTGAGTAATGCTATCTCAGTTACAAAGAAAACAACTTTCTAGGTGAAATTTTGTAGTGATTTGAGTATCTGTGAACAAATTTGCCTTTATTCAGAGGTTTTTTCAGAGAGAGAGAGAGAGAGAGAGAGAGAGAGAGAGTGTGTGTGTGTGTGTGTGTGTGTTATGTAACCAGCCTACTCGCTGTCTTGAAGAACTAATAGCTGATTTTGAATGGCCAGTAGGTGTCATCTTAGAATGCCATAAATTGAACATTGGGAAGGAGATTACCAAGCAGTTTAAGAAACACTTGCCCAATGTTTAATGCCATAACTTCAACACCAAGAAGAAAATTACCAAGTACTTTAAGAACCATTAATTCAGTTAGCGTGTAATTGGATAATTATTTATAAATCATGAATGTTCTCTTTCTTCTGAAATATTTCAAAAGTACGATTGGAGCTATTTATAAGGAATTTGAGCTAGCTACTGTTTGTGGTGCTGGGGATTGCCCAGGGCTTTTTGCATGCTAGGTAAACATTGCCAACTGACCTGTCTCTCAAACAGTGTCTGCAAAGAAGTATAATTGTTTGCTTTAAAATGGATTTTGACTTTTTTAACCCAGCCCTTAAGGTATCATATAATGGGGGTTTAAGATTAGTTGACTATTTTTAGTAGACAGTTTTGATATCTTACTTAGTTTATTCTAAAATGATTAAGGTTTTCAGTCCACTGAACTTATATACTAGAGAAAACAGTGCTACATGATGTAAAATTAAAATGATGAAATATGGGCAGAATTCTTTGAACAAGTTATCAGCAGTTTTCTATTGTTCTTTTAATGCCTGAACGAACAGCAGAATTTTTGTGTTTCATTGTCTGTGATGGCTGTGGTGCCTTCTATTTCTTCTTCTTAAGCTATATCCCCAGCCCTTTTTATTTTTTATTTTGAGACAGGACTCGCTTAGTGGTTCCCACTTTTTGATCCTCTGCCTCAGCCTCCCAAGTAGCTAGAATTACCTGCGTGCGCCACCTCACCAGTCTGTCTGTGGCTTCTTAAGGTCCCAAATTGCTTCCTTTTACATTTTTATCTGGTAGACTACATGCTTTTCTCAGAATAATGAATACCAATGTCTAAGATGTAATGTAGTGGATTCAGGAGGAAGCTGACATAGAAATCTCTGAAGGTGGTGTATACCTGTTGTAAATAGCCTCCCTAGCCTTCTGCTGAGCTCTTGTCACTTTGTAGTTCTATTTCTTATGCTTTGCTTTTGACACAATGTTTAAAAAAAGGACTGCCTAATTTGAGAATTATCCAATTGGGTACAGATAGATAGAAAGGTCTCTCAAAATAAAATAGGAGTTTATAAAAAGGCATACACACAGTTATTATATACACTTCAAAATTTTAGTCATGGGGGAGTATGAAGGAAGTAGATGCATTTTGGGGAAAAAAATCTCTTAATGATTTGGTTTAGTTATGGCTGCCACTTTAAAAACCATTGATGTAATTCAAGGCTCTGGCACTTGTGGTATGAACCAGTAACAATAGTTACTTATCTATCAATAAATTTTTAGCTCAACAAATTGTCACCATTTAACAACATAGCTAGGGTAACTTTTCTAGCCAGTGTCTGAAATTGCTAGAAATGAAAATTATGCTGAATGTTTCAGTTTGCCAAAGTGATCTAATTCTAGAATTAAAAATGGAAAATAAAGATTGAAAGTTTTTTTGATTAAAAGTCTTTTTAATACTGCAATGATATGACAAATATACATTAATATTTGCATAAACAGTCATTCACTAATATGTATTAAAACTTGGAATTGCAAATATGTTGACCTTGGTATGGTTCTAATTTATAAATTTATAGCTCCTCTTTATGAATTCTGAGCTTTTTGTTTCGGGATCTGGCTGCCATATAGATAAGTATGAGAAAAAAGTAAATAAGAAGAATGAAATTTAGGGGAAATTTTATTTTAAGGTGTGTGACTTTGGTTAATTATAGAGTTATGCTTTCTGTGTTTGAGATACAACTGTCAAAATATTGGTCATAAAATGTGGCAGGTGGCACTAATTTACTAAGTGGTAAACATGGGTTACAGAATACTCATTTTGTCTATACCTCAAAAAATGTTAGTCAGATTTATTACCTTTGTTATTATGGATAATTGAATCTTTTTTTTTTTTTTTGGTTGTACTGGGGATTGAAATGAGGGCCTTGTACATGCAAGGCAAGCACTCTACCAACTGAGCTATGTCCCCAGCCCCAGATAATTGGCTCTTTTTAAAATTATTGCATATTAATTATATAGAATATTGGGTTTCATTGTGTCATATTTGTATATGTGTATAACATTTTTATCATTTCTGTCTCCCCATTACCCGCCCTTACACTCCCCTCCCCTATCCCCTTCTACTTAGTAATAGTCCCCCTTGTACATCCAAATCATCCCCGACCCCTAGATTTCACATATGAAAGCAGGCAGTACTTGTCTTGAGTATGGCGTATTTTGCTTGAAAATAACATGATGATATGTAGTGCCATCCATTTTCCTGCAAATGACATAATTTTGTTTCCTTAAGGCTGAATAATACTCCATTGTGTATATATGCCACATTTTCTTTATCCATTCATCTGTTGATATGCACCTAGGCTGACTTCATAACTGGGCTATTGAGAATTGTGCCTCCATAAATATAGGTATGTATGTATCTATAGTGTGATACTTGACTAATAATGTTTGATATAGGCTAATATAGCTACTGAGATTTGTCAATTAATTTACATAAATTTCTTTCCTCATATTTTATAAAAACAGGTGAGGGAAGGAGTTGGATCCTGAATAGGAAATTAAACTTATACTTTCACATACTCTTTTATTTTAAAGCTTTCTAATCTGTGTATTCCTTTGTAGTTCTTTTGAAATGAAAACAATAGTGGAGTTGGAAGAATACACTGTGGACCATTCTATTTTTCTAAAGAGACTGTAGGATTCAAATAGAAAACACAAAGTACTTATAAAATCTAAAATTTTTAACAATTTGAAATATTTTACAGTATTTACTGTTTTATTGTTTGTGGAAAAAAACTAGGAAAAATTAATTAAAAAATTAGAATTAAATGTTCCATTATCAAATCTCTCATTGTATACCTGTCACTCTGTGATCTTATTTATTCACTTAGTATCTAAAACTGATGATTCTTAGGGCTGATAATTCTCAAATATCTGTCTGTTTTCTCTATCTATGTCTCTAATCTAGACTTTTTCTTTCCTGTTCTATAATTTAAATACCTGCCAGATGAAGATGATCTGCAGGGCCCTCAAATATGCTATGACTTAAAATGATTCTATTTTCCCTTTTATCGTTTTTCTAATGGGCTGAAACTAGAACCTGATGTTATCTTTAATACTTTGTTTATGTACCTCTCATCTGAGCAATACTGGATTTTGTTGCCTCTACCTTCTACTTTTACTTTTTAAATTGATACATAATAATTGTACCTATTTATGGGGTATGATGCGATGTTTCAATACATGTGTACATTGTGAAAGATGCAAATCAAGGTAAAATCCTCAAACAACATTGTTTTGTGGTGAGAACATTCAAAACCTTTTTTTTTTTTGGAAACACATTATTGTTATATATAGTCGCTTTATGTGCAATAAAACATGAGAACTTATATTTCCTGTATAATCATAAATTAGTACCCATTGAGTAACTTTTTCGCATTCTTCCCTCCTGCTCCCCTCAGCCACTGGTAACTACTGTTCTTTTCACTGTGTCTATGAGATCATTTTTTTTTTTTTGATTCTACATACAAGTGAAATCATGCGTTGTCATTCTGTGACTGGCTTCTTTCACTTAACATAATGTCTTCCAGGTTTATCCATGTTGTCACAAATGACAGGATTTCATCCTTTTTTTATAACTCAATAATATTCCTTTGTGTTTATATACCACATTTTCTTTCTTTATTCATCAGTTTACGAACACTTGGGTTGACTCCATTTCCTTGGCTGTTGTGAATAGTGCTGCAATAAAGAGAGTGCAAATGTCTCTTCAATATACTGATTTCCTTTCTTTTGGATATATCCCAGTAATGGAATTACTGAATTGCCAACTGATCTTTTATTAAAGACAGTGCAACTTTGTGTTTGTATTCTATAGTATCAGATTATATAATGTTTTATGCAAGTCTATAGTGTAGGTTACAGATCAGCTTATT